GACTATTTCTCAATCTACTTTGAAAGGCTTTTCTCCCTGATGGATGCTCAATTTTGTCTTGGGGGTGGGGGCTTGCCATATAGCCCATGACTTCAAACTCACGCCCTTCCTGCTCTGCAATCCCAAAACCAGAATCACAAGTATGTGCTGTGGATATTGCTCTGTACAAATAAAATGCTGATTGGCCAGTAGCCAGGCAGGAAGTATAGGCGGGATAAGCAGAGAAGAGAATTCTGGGAAGAGGAAGGCTGAGTCAGGAGACGCTGCCAGCCGCCACCATGAGTACCAACATGTAAGATACTGGTAAGCCACGAGCCATGTGGCAAGGTATAGATTTATAGAAATGGGTTAATTTAAGATAGAAGAACTAGATAACAAGAAGCCTGCCATGGCCATACAGTTTGTAAGCAATATAAGTCTCTGTGTGTTTACTCAGTTGGGTCTGAACGGCTGTGGGACTAGCAGGTGAGAGAGATTTGTCCTGACCATGGGCCAGGCAGGACTGGAGAAAACTTCAGCTACAAGTATGCACTTCCATGACAGGTCCCTCCTGCCCTACTAATCCACTTAAATTCAAAGCGGCTACCATTCTTCTAAGTAGTTTATCTTATCAAATTTAAGGTAAATCTTCACTTTTTTCCCCTGAGATAGAAACTTAAGGCAATCTTCAAAATAACTTTCTTCTACAGATGGGAAAACTGAGGTACAAAGAAAATAGGTAACCTGCTCAGACCATCTAATTAATGAGATGTACAGTTGAGAGATGTCATCCATCTCAGATCTAAATTATCCATATGAAGCAATCATTTCTAAAGGGCTAAAACTAGTTGTAACTTCCTTCTAAGTTACTTATTCATATTTACAGTTAATAGTGGCTGCCTTCTGATATCTTCACAGGATACCTTGATTAAGCCCTTTTTGCTATTTTAGCTTTCTTTATTTCTGGCTTTCTGAAACAAGGTCTCACTCTGTAGCCAAGTTTATCTTGAACTCCTCATTCTTCTGCCTACCTCCCAGCTGCTGGGGTTACAGGTATATGCTACAACATCCAGCTTTAATCTATACTGGTTTTTTCTCCTTTTTTTTTTTTTTTGGCAATACTGGGATTGAACCCAAAGCCTTCTGTATGCTAATCAAGCACTCAGCATATCCTCAGTCCTCTGGTGCTTTTTATTTTGAGATAGGAATCTAACCAGCCCCCAGCTGGTCTTGAACTAGCAATCCTCCTGCAGTGGTCTCTAGAATAGCTGGGGTTATAGACCAGTATGACTAGATCTAGCCTAACATTCTTAAAAATTCATTCCTTCTCTCCTTAATAGATACTTAAAGTTAATATATTATTTCTTCTCCCTGAAAGGGTCCTACCAATTTTCTTAATATATCATTAATCACCTACTTTCCCAACTTCACATACATGAATTAACTTCTTAGTAACCAAATTCTTTTTGTTCTTTTCCAAATGCCTCCCCAAATTCTCTGATTTTTCTGTCTCCATTAAACTAGTTTAAGATTTTTACCTCTTAGGTTCATCAACCAACAACAGACAATTCTGGAAGGATTACCAAATGACAAGAAGGGATGTCACACTAACATTAGTCATATGATTCACTTGAGCCTACTAGGGAAAAGTCATCAGTTTCTTTACACATGATCTACAAAAGCTTTCTCAAAACTTTCTCAAACTCCTATCATCTTCAAGACTTGAAATGAGCTACTACTCCTTAAACACACACATACACACACACACACACACACACACACACACACACACACACACACACCCCTCCCTAGTCTCAGTATTTCCTAAACACCCTTCATTTTACAAACTGGAGTTACCTTCTGTCACTGTCTTAGAATTTCTTTCTCCTGCTTGAAGTTTCTACTCATTTACCAACACCTAACTTCAGGTATTACATGAAACCTTTCCTAATTATCCCAAGAAAGGAGGAGTCTGCTCTCCCTCTGCACCGGGCTTATTAGTTAACCTATCTGTCTACCTCATCTATAATTTTACTTCATGATCGTAAGCCCAATGCCTGGACTGTCAGCTGCATCAATGAATTTTCTGTGGCATGTCTGATGAGACATGCAGTGTTATTAATTTTAGCACTTTATCTTGAAGTTCATGGTACTCAAAAATATTTCCTGAATGAATAACTAACTCTAGTTTTTAACAAAGAACTCTCTGCTGTGGGATGTTCTGTATGGCAAATGTGTTGCTGATTATTGGTCAATAAATAAATCACTGATTGGCCATTGGCTAGGCAAAAAGTATAGGCGGGACAAGGAGGAGAATAAAGCTGGGAAGTGGAAGGCTGAGTCAGAGAGACACTGCCAGCCGCCATCAGGATAAGGAAGATGTAAAGTACCGGTAAGCCACAAGCCACGTGGCAAGGTATAGATTTATAGAAATGGATTAATTTAAGCTGTAAGAACAGTTACTAAGAAGCCTGCCACGGCCATACAGTTTGTAACCAATATAAGTCTCTGTGTTTACTTGGTTGGGTCTGAGTGGCTGTGGGACTGGCAGGTGAGAGAGATTTGTCCTGACTGTGGGCCAGGCAGGAAAACTCTAGCTACAACTCTCCTCTATACTGCCCAGAGAAATGGGAAGAATCTGTGAGAATGACAGGGAGCCATTCATCAGAGGAATAAGAAAGTATCTTCAGTAGTACAAATAAAAGAGCAATGTCTGCAGCAACAGGAAAGGATTTATCAGTCAAGCCATTTTGTTTAACATGCTGAATATATCACTAATCCAAACCACTGAGAAATCTCAGTTCAGATAGGCCATCCTGAGTTTATTACTTAAAACACCACAGACAGATTCTTTCAGAAAGACCTGTCAACAAGATATGAAACTAAGAAGGTATTCCGGGAAACTTCCAGGATATACATTATTGCAATCACTGACTCATCTATTAATAAATTATTCTGTCAACTGAGGAAAGATCCTACAGTTTGATTTTATTGTCAGAAGTTGTCTGTTCAAAAAGATGAGTCACCAAACCAATAATAAGATTTTATAAGAAGTCGAGTTAACAATGAAATTTCATGGGTTCAAAACTCTACTTTGTTTCCATTTAATTTCTCTAATGTGGAAAATGAAAGTACAATTCTATTTAGTAGTACATGAAAACCAGGATGCATAAAAACCAAATATCCTTGACTACATCCTGCCCTGTTTCCTTCAGTTCTCCAGCTGTGACTTAGAATGGGAAGCAGGAGCTCTGCAGCCTATATTTATGGCAGGAGCTGCAGGAAATGGCAGCAGAAACTGGGGGCCTTTATCCTTCTCCCCTCTTGAGAGTAAAGTCAATTTTTCACTAGGGGAATGAAAGCTTATTCCTTACAGGGTTAGACTCACAACCATGCAGGAAAAGACAAATAGACTTCTTAATTATACATAACTGATAGTATTTAATTGTAACTATTATGTTTTTAATTTTGATGAAACAAGATATGAAGGGGGGGTCACTTCAGTTATAAGACCTATTGATATGCTTGTCTGTCCTAAGAATCTTCTGATTACTGTATCATCACTGGCTCCCTCATCAGCTACTATAGAACTGGTCTCACCAAGTTAAACAACTTTAACAACTCTACTAAATGGCAAGACCTAGAAAACAAACACACATTTTTTCACCCCTTTTCTTCATCCCTGGGAAAGAAAACACATTTTCAAGTAAGTTACTGGACTCATCTGGCCATATATTTAAAGAAGAAAATGGCATGTGAGCCAAGACAAAACTGTGAATGCCAAAGAGAACTCATTGTAACAGTAGGAAAATTGAATGATTTTCTGTTAATAAGTGACTAGTGAAATCCGTGATTTAAATATCTCAAATCCTGTAAAGATGTAAAAATTGAAACAAGGAATTACAGAATTACCTAGTATTTTGACCAAGGATACACAGTAAACGTTCAGAGGACTAAGACAGTTTTCCTGGCCTACTGTAAAGAAACAGATGGCAGAATTTTATGATTAGAGACGCTAATATTAAGCATCTCCAGACACTTATTGTCTGAGAAAAAGCAACATTTTTTTCTCAAGTGTAATTATAACCCTTCACTCAAATCACTTTTATTATAACTTACAATTTAAGAAGGCTACTTCTCCTAACAAATGCTATATCCATGCTAGGGATGGTGTAGTAACAAAAAGTAACAGTGAAAAAGTTCAATTCGTTATGGAAACTATGGCATTTAAAATTCAAGCCACAATCCACTCTGAAGCGCCAACCAAAAGGATACCATTTTCACCCATGGTGACATTCTTAACTGTGAACCGCAGTGTTCTTTACAACTTTCACTTCTGTTGATACGAAGTAATCACGCCCCAAAGGGGCAGATGGTGTATCCTTCATTCTTCCTTCGTATCTCTACTTCTATTTTTTTTTTTTTCACATAAGGAAATACTGTTTCAGTGTTTTGTAACCCCATCCCATTATCTCAAACACCACAGCTCCTTACGACGAACGCCACCAAATCCAATTTTCAAGTTCAAATACGGAAACACTCCGGAACGACATCTGAACGCCCACAGCCTCCCTCGGCACCTGAAGGATTTCTCTAACCAGCAGCTGGGTGGTTCCACAGCCATTAAATCTGTCGCTTCCCTAAGCTGCGAAAGGCTCAGTAGGCCTTTATTGTCCTGAAACAATCCTCTCCGTCTTCTAGACTGTAAGGCGAGCCGGCAGGGACCCCGGGGCCACTTCCAGCCTGTCGGCACGTCCGTCCACAGGGAGAAGCCGCCAAGAGTCCCAGTTTCAGGTGGCTCCAGCAGCACCGATCGCGAGGATCCGCGCCGCAAGACCGGGCTCGCCCAACCGGGGCTCCCGAGTCAGCCCAGCCCACTCCTCGTCCCGTCGCCAGGACGTCGGGACCCCCCGCCGCCCGAGCCGGGCCCAGCGTCCTGCCGCCCCCGCCACCCCGCTCCGTCCCCGCCCCTCCCCCGCCGCCGCCGCCGCCGCCGCCGCCCGCGGAGCCCCGGGACCCACCTCGAAGAGCTCGGCCGTCGTGGCCATGCCGGCCGGCTGAGAGGCTCGCCCCGCGCTCGAGGCCGTCTCCGCTTCACATGCTGCGCCTCAGCGGCGCGGCTCGCACGTCCCAGCTCGGCCTGACCGCCTCCGGCCCCGGCTGCAGACGGCCGCGGGCTGCCCGGCTCCTCACACAGGGCAGGCTGCGCGGGAGAGCGGCCATGAAGCGGAGCCGCAAGACGCCTGTCAGCTGCCTCCCGGCGCCGCCCGCGCCGCTCCCATTGTCACCGCCTCGCACGCCGGAAGTGGAGCTGCGCGCGCCGGGCGGACTTGGCGGGGCGGGCGAGAGGAGCGAGCGGCGGGCGGGCCGCGGAGACGCTCGTCTGCGGGCGGGCGAGCGAGCGACGCGCCTTGAGCCTCGCGGGCCGCCATCCCGGAAGTGGGAGGTAGAGACTTTGCAGTCCTCCCGGATTCCGGGTGCGGGTTCTTAGGACCTGTCTGAGGTGTGTCTTGACCTCCTGCAGGGACCGGGAGACTTGCGTCGCCTCACCGGGAAGAGCGAGCGTCTCCCGTGAGCTCTTGCGGCGCAGGGACGTCTGCTCTGGCTGGCTGGCGACCTTAGTTTCCGTGATGATCTGATACTTCGGTGGCTTACCATGGCCCAGCGGGCACTGTGGCTCATACGTCACGAACCGGGAACTCCACTCGGTGGCACCGTCAGATTCTCCAGGTAATTGCAAGTCTGGGTCCTCAGGCATGATGGGGCCCAGGATGGATCAGGTAGCAGTTTTTGTGGTGCATTGAATCCCAGATCTGCCAGGAACAGCTCGCTGAGTGCCACTGGGCAAGTTAAGCTTTGTACGCTAACCTTATCTGACATTGTTGTAAGAAGTGAGTTGCTTGGCCCATGTTGCTACATGCGTTCTAATACTACTATTATTGTATCTTTTTGTCGTTGTTGTTGTCGTGAGGCAAAAATACCCCTAGCTATCCTGGAACTCGCTGTGCAGACCAGACTGGCCTCGAATTTACAGAGATCTGTCTGTCCCTGCCTCTTGAGTATTGGAATTAAAGGTGTGGGCCACCATACCCGACAGTATTATTGTATCTTAAAATGAATTCCATCTGTGCAAGATTGGTACAGAAATGATGAAGGAAAAAATACTTACTGAGCACTAAACATGTTTCAGATTTTTCAACTTTCAGTGGCAAAATTATTTCAGAACATTTTAATTCATGCTTACAGAATCTCCTTGTTGAGCGATACTGTTGTTTTCGTCTTATCAGTATACGCGATTGTTAGAAATCATTATCGTTTGCAGTTTTTAGTGGTTGAACAAAATAGAAGGAACTATGAAAAATTAAATTACACTCACTTTTTTCCTGGGTGGCATAAGTGATCCGGTCCCGTTTTAAGACTTTGCCATATCTTACCAAAATAATTCTATGGAGAGGACTATATAGTAACTTAAAGTATGGAAGGCAATCATGCACTCTTCTATGATTTAGATATTTTTGTTTCTTCTTTTCAGAACTGATTATTCAGTTCATTTCACCATTTATTGATTGGAAGTTGTGTGTGTGTGTGTGTGTGTGTGTGTGTGTGTGTGTGTGTTTAGTTTTTGCAGTTCTTTATACTAGACATTAACCCCTTTATGAAGTATAGCTGGCTAAGTGTTTTTCCACAATCTGTAGGCTCTCTCTCCATTTTGCTTGTAGTTTTGTTTTGCAGAAAGGTTTTCATTTCATGTGATCCCATTTGTCATTCTTTGAGTTGTTTTCTGTTCTTGGCAGTATTTCTGAGAAGCCTCTGACTGAGTAGCTTTGTATTCTTGGAAAGCAGCTCCATACACTAGAACTTCCTGCATGATAGAAAGGGGTGGATTGTAAGTGTGTTAATGTTAGAAACCAGTAAGCACGTGTGGGTGATGTGACTGAGCAACTCAGTTACTAGGTTTTTTTTGTTGTTGTTTTGAGACAGAGTCTCACTGTGTAGCACTGGCTGACCTAGAACTCACTATGTAGACCAGGCTAGCCACAAACTCATAGGTGTCCTCCTGCTTCTGCTTCCTGAGTGCTGAGATTAAAGGCATGCAACCACCATGCCTGACCTCAGCTGTTAGTTTTGCTTACATTTAAATAGCACATGTACCTAGCGTCTACCATATTTGACACTGCAGATCTGGATATTTGATCTGTAGGAATATATGGATTCCTTCACTCACATTCCTTAGTGATAGATTCAAGCTGCCTCTCCCATTCAGAACAGTGCTACAGTAGACATCCTCAAACAGGGCTTTAGGACATGTCTATACAGATTTTGACAAAATATTGACAAGCAGCTTCCCTGAATGCTAACACATTCATTAGGAATTAGTAAATTTCTGTACTTAACCGACTCTTATTCTGATTTTTACCAACAAAGGAGGTCTAATTTCTATTTGTATATTTTTCTGTAACATTATTTGTTAGTCTCTTGAGTTTCCTTTTCTGTGAATTACCTTTACCTTCCATAGATACCATTTTATCCATTCTGTATAGTTTTATCTGTTACATTTAAGCCTTTAGTCCAGTTGTACAGCTTTGGATATGGTGTTGAGTGGGAATACACTTTTTCTTTATACTATTTGACAGTTTTCCTAACATCATCATGTAAGCCCTATATCTTTTCTTCATTGACTCAATATTGATGTTTGCTTCATATAAACACTGGTCTATCGCTCTTCTATTACTTTGTCCTTTTTGTGCCAATGTTCTGATTTTATGTGTATACACTTGTATCTTAGCATTGTAATTGAAGTAAGACTTTCGTTAATTGAAAAAGTAAGTCCTTTGAAGAAGTCATGTAGGGCAGAAGAGATGCTTGATATTTATGAACATGCTCTGCTCTTCCAGAGGACCAGAGTTTACTTCCCAAAACCCACGTGAGGCAGCTCACCAGCCACCACAAACTCTAGCCCCAAATGGATCCAACATCCTCTTCTGGACTCCAAAACCATCTGCACTCAAATGCACATACCCACCCCTCTCTATATATATAACTGAAAAATGACAAAAATAAATATTTTAAAAGGTCATATTAGTTTTCAGAATTATATACTTTAGAAGACACATTCAGATACATTTAGGTGAGTTACACTACATCTCCGTGGAGGTAGCAAAATGGGGGGGGGGTTGTCTCACAGGATTCATCTATGTGTCTCCTTAATTCTGTATTATTGAATAAATTGCTAGTTTTGTGAAGTTCTCCATTTTCAGATTCTGACCACTTGGAGCTGATGTTAAGGCTAATATATGTGAATTAACATATATTCCTTAACCTTTTCTGGGAAGATGTAAAGAAATGTGTAATAACTCTGGATTTAAAGGACAATAACAGACCAAAGGAATCTATTCAAATTGAGATTGGCAAACCAGTGTGTTTGTTGGGGTTACTTAAGGGAGCATGGGTGACTCACAAGAACACACACCAGCCAAAGTCACCTGAGTCAGTTGTTTACTGTTGTGTGGTAGTAGTTGGTGTTTGGGGGAGAGGAGGCCTTGACAGGTTCCTGGGTTATCATAGCTACTCTACCTCAACCCGGAGGAAATAGCCACACCACTGCATATTCTCTACATCCATGCCAAAGAGTAGTGGCTATCATTTATAATACAAGAGGGCGGATGATCTTAATACAACAATCTTGATTTATAGTATCAGCTTAAGTGCACCTCTGATTGGTATCACACCCATAGCTGTAGGGACACTTAAGGCTTGAATCCTGTCTTGAGACTGATGTCTTTCTATCCATTTAGCAGGGGCACATGAATCTACTGATATTTTAATTATCATCTGCTGTACCATGGCCTGGCCAGGCTTCTGGTCCTGTGGCCCTGGCTTGCCATAGCTGCAATATGTAGGTTTAATTTAAGTCTCTACCATCCTATTTATCAATAAGACTCAGGAGTCAAAGACTGGGGTGAAAACCTGCTAGTTCAGAGATGCCAAGTAGCAACTAGCTGACCTTGCTTTTAGGCTGGAGATACTGCAAGAGACACGTCTTGTCCCAGAACTAAGAAAGCTCAAACTCTAGTCCCTGCCCTTTCCTTCATGTGCATCTTCTCTATCCAAGTTGCTGGCTTCTCTATGGCCAATTCTGGTCACTGGCTCCACCCCCTGATTCAAGGTATAACTTTATTGGGCAGTCTCAGGAGTGTCAGAGTGTGATCAAACTATCCCACAACATGAAACAAAACCTAGATTACTTAGAAATGACAGATTAAGTAATCCTACAAAATTTGAAACATATTGAGACATTGTTTAAGTTCCCAGATTAGTTTATTTTCTTTATTGTCAACTATGAGAGTATGACAAGTTACTAATGGTATACTAACTGATTTTTCCCCTTTTCAATCAGAAAAATATATAAGAATCTAAGTGAAGGTCCACTAATTAGTAGATCATTTTAATGCATTATTTTTATTATCAAACGTTACCATCTTATTAGAGAAAAATATTGGTTTTGTTTTTTGGTTTTTTTTTTTTTTGTTGTTTTGTTTTTTTGGTTTTTAGAGACAGGATTTCTGTGTAGCTTTGCGACTTTCCTGGAACTCGCTTTGTAGACCAGGCTGGCCTCGAACTCACAGAGATCTGCCTGCCTCTGCCTCCCAAGTGCTGGGATTAAAGGCGTGTACCACCACTGCCCGTCGAGAAAAATATCGTTATGAAAATTATTTTTAGAAGTCTTAGTAGTTCCTATCCATTTGCTAGGTTTTTATTTGTTTGGTTTTGATGCTGGAGATTGAACCTAGTGTTCCATGCATGCGAAGATATTCTCTTCCACTGACATATACCCCTTGACCTATCATTTATTTTATAAATAAGAAAATGGACTTAGGAGAATATATTAGTCAGGGTTCTCTAGAGGAACAGAACTGATAGAATGAACGTGTGTGTGTGTGTGTGTGTGTGTGTGTGTGTGTGTGTGTGTGTGTGTCCATATATGTTTATTGAAGTAGGTAACAGCCTGTGGTCCAGCTAGTCCAACAATGGCTGTCTACCAATAGAAAGTCCAAGAGTCCAGTGGTTGTTCAGTCCATGAGGTTGGATACCTCAGCTGGTCTTCCATATACACTAGAATCCACAAGAAGTAGGCTTGAATGCCAGTAAAGGAATGGACTTCTCAGCAAGATTGAAGGGAAGCATGCAAAGAGAACAAGCTTCCTTCTTCCATGATCTTAATATAGACTGCCAGCCAAAGATGTGGCTCAGATTAAAGGTGGATCTTCCCACGTCAAAGATCTAGGTTAGAGGTGGATCTCCCCACTTTAAATGATTTAATTAAGAAGAAAAAATCCCAAGCCGGGCGGTGGTGGCGCACGCCTTTAATCCCAGCACTCGGGAGGCAGAGCCAGGCGGATCTCTGTGAGTTCGAGGCCAGCCTGGTCTCCAAAGCGAGATCCAGGAAAGGCGCAAAGCTACACAGAGAAACCCTGTCTCGAAAAACCAAAAAAAAAAAAAAAAAAAGAAAAAATCCCTTACAGGTGTACCCAGACACATAGGTTTTTAATTAATTCCAGATATAGTCAAGTTGACAACCAAGAAGAACCATCACAGAGAGTTTGCTTATTTACTCAAAAAAATGAGTAGCTAATAGATAGCTTTATGCTGGACCTAAAAGTAGAAAGAAAAGGAATAATGAAAATATATATTTGTTGAAAGTCAAAAACTGTGTTTAGGAGCTAGTGACTCAGTCCTTAGCCCTGGAGGGAGGTGTAGATGTGATTAATGGATTCTTATAAATGACCAAAAGTGTCTTGTAGCAGGAATCTTAAAAGTTCTTATTAATAAAATCAAACCTGAGGCCAGTTATTGGGGTGAATACTAGAAGATCAGAGAATCAGAACAAGCCACAGCTAACCTCACCTGGCCAACTTCTCAGCTGATCTTGTTTCCTCAGACTGGAAGCTTCTGTGTCCTCATCCAAATGGATCTCAGCTAAACTGTGCTGCTCAAAACCTAAAAGCTTAACCAGCCAAATGCTTCTAGTTTCTGGTCCTCACACCTTATATACCTTTCTGCTTTCTACCACCACTCCCTGGGATTAAAGGCTGCTTTCTGGGATTAAAGGTGTGAGTCACCATGCTTGGCTGTATCCTTGAACGGATGGGTTTCTGCCTCTGGAATGCTAGAATTAAAGGCGTGTGCTACCACTGCCTATCCTCTATGTTTAATATTGTGGCTATTCTGTCTCTGACCCCAGATAAGTTTATTAGGGTGCACAATATTTTGGGGAACACAATACCACCACAGTGTCTAAGCATCTTCTATTTTGTGATGGGGGCAGATAGATTAGTAAATTTACATTCTACCCAGAGCACATAAACTGTAAAGGATTAATTTGATTTTCCTCTTTTTATTATCTCTAAATATCTTCCAGGGCCATAGAGATAAGTCATTATTACTGAAATGATCTTTCATATTTTTACAAGGGTTGGTAAGAACATTCAGGACATCTGTTATTCATTATGTAAATTAGTATCATTGCAATAAATGAATCTAAAAGTTTAGAGCATTAAATATAACTACTTCTTTGTGATTAATCTAAGGTGGAATTTAAAAAAAAAAAAAAACTTATTATAGATACCTAAGAGAAAAAAGGGTTTATTTTGGCTCAAAGTTTAAGGGTGCAGTCCATCAGGTTGGAGAAGTCATGGTCCAGGACCTTGAGGCAGCTGGTCACATTGCATCTATAGTCAGGAAGCAGAGAGCAATGAATTCTACTTCCCCACTCTCTTTCTCTATTTCAGTCAATTCAGGACCCCAACCCATGGAATGAGGTCACCCGTGTTCAGGGTGGGACTTCCGACACCAGCCTAATCTAGAACGTCCCACAGACGTACCCAGAGATCTGTTTCCATGCAGACTAAATTGTTTTTCTGTTGGCTTAGTGGCTGTACCTGAATCTACTGATATTTTAACTACTGTCTGCACCCTGCCATGCCGCAGTCAGCATCCTGCCACTCAGATGGCAGGATTTCTAGCTCCGCGGTCACCAGCTCAGACGCAGCCTCCAAGTGTAGGATTTAACTAAGTCTCTATTGTTCTAGTTACCAATGAAGCCTCAGGAGTCAGATATTGGGGTGAAAACCTGCTAGATCAGAAAAGCCAAGAAGCAACCAGCTGACCTTCCTTTTTGACTGGAGACCCAGCAAGAGAAACATCTCTTCACTCTCAAACCAAAAAGACCCTGAATCTCTAAGTCCCTCCCTACTCCTTCCTGTGTGTCTCTCTATCTGTATTTCAAATATCCCATAACACTAAATCCCACCAAGTTGACAGTCAGATTAACTATGACGTCTACCAAGAGGAAATCTGAGTGGCTGAAAAACAAAGGTTTTAAATTAGAAATATGTACTCTACCTATTTAAAAACCTAATTAAATTGAGTCAGTTATTTTCAGTAGTATGTGGTACATTTTACCATTTGAGATAACAAACTAAATATGAAGCATTTGTTCCAGGCATAAGTCAGAAGGTTTAATGGTTTAGGGTTTTTTCCTTTGGTAGTGTATGTTATTTATTTGTTGCTTTATGTTTTATAGTTGTGACTGTTTGCCTTCTGTTTTAAAGCTTTTTAATTCTCTCATTGATTTTACTTGGAGAATCATTTGTAATGTTTCTGTTTCCCTAATACAGACGATATCCTACTGTTGAAAAGAGAGCCAAAATCTTGAATGGACAGAGTTATGTTCCTGTACCTGAAGATGGTCCCTTTCTTAAGGCATTACTCTTTCAACTTAGATTATTGGATGATGATAAAGACTTCGTGGAGAGGCGTGATAGCTGTTCATACATCAATAAATCATCTATCTATGGACTTTTAGTAGGAGGTGAAGAACTCTGGCCAGTCATTGCTTTTCTGAGGAATGATATGATATATGCAAGTGTTCCACTAGTTGAACAAGCTCTGTCCCCTCGCCCATCTTTAATTAGTATTAGTGGAATTTCACAAGGCTTGGAACTGCTTTTTGGGATACAGGATTTTCTTTACTCAAGTCAGAAAAATGACACTGACGTAAACACAAAATTGAGTCAATTGCCTGACTTGCTTCTGCAGGCTTGTCCATTGGGTACTTTATTGGATGCTAACTTGCAGAATTCATTGACTAGTATTAATTGCTCATCTGTGACTCAGCCACAAAAACAGCCAGCATGGAGAGTTGGAGCATACAAAGGAAAACCACAGATCTCTATTTCTATCAGTGAAAAAGTAAAATGCATGCAGTATGGTAAACAGGATATAGCAGACACATGGCAAGTTGTTGGAACGGTCGCTTGCAAGGTGAGGTTTTCTCCAGGATTTGTTTTGTCATAGCATTTAACACTGAAGAACAGTAAAATTTACAGTTGTATTTTACATTTTTTTAAATGATATGCTTGTTATCCTTAGCAGCAGGCATGAAATTTTATGTTATCTTTCTGTATCTTTTACAAATTATTTACTTAATGACTATTATATAATGAATTATACCATTGCTCTAAAGTAGACATTATCTTCATAGTTTCTATGGGTCAGAATTTAGGAGCAGCTTAGCTGGGAACCTCCAGTATAGAATCTCATGAGCCTATAGTCGAGATGTTGGTTGGAGCTGTTATCATCCGAAGACCTGAGTAGGGCTCGAATATCTGCTTGCAACATGACTTACTCACATGACTGTCAAGTCAGGACTGTCTGATGGAAGGAGGCCTCTGTTCCACTCCACATGACTTCTCCACTGGCTGCTTAAGTATTCTTACAACTTGGTAACTGGCTTCTTTCAGATCAAATAGTGTATGTTTGTATGTATGTGAAAGAGAAAGACTCAAAGCTATTGTTTTTACTACTTATTCTGAAAAGCCACATGGCATCGTTTCTACTACATTCTGTTTCTTAGCTGCAAAGCCAATCACTCAGTCTAGTCACACTGAAGAGATATGGGATCAGGTCCACCACTGGGAAAGAGCAGTTGGGGGAGAACTTAGGAATACACTTAACATCATCTCACTTCCATTTCCCTAGTAGATGAAGTTGACAGGTCCTCTGACTTTACATCAAATAACAAGAGGTCTTGTTTTATTTAAATAACTCAATAGTCAATTTATCTGTCTTAAAGTTAGAAAATGGGGAAAACAGTGGAAACGTCGATAGAGATAACAATGATTAATGTCAGGATGAATAATGATCAAAGTCCTCCAATTAAACACTTCATGTATGTATTAGTATTCTCAAATATCTTTTTTAGTCCTTTATTTTGTATACTTTGTAAATTTAATGTTTAGTTACTATATATAAATTCTATGAATATAGTAAATTTTAAGAACAGAATTAGACAGGGAAATTGACTCTTCTAATTAAAGTAACCTAAAAGTTTTGCCTATGCTAAAAATTTCTGTCATGCTCAAAATTGCATTCCAATTATTCATCCTATGAGGACCTCTATTTTAAGAGGCTTGACAGTCATGGACTGTGTCATTCATCACTCTTAAAGTAGTCGAGTCTTTTCCTCATAAGTTCAGTGTGATAAAAATTAGAAAGGTCACTATGTTTTCATCCTGGATGTTATATATATGTGATTAACATGATGTGTACATTTCTCTGTTCATTGATAAGTTGACCCCACTTTCTTGTTTATGAGAAGTGTGAGCTGATGCCTTAGTGCTGGTTCACATGACCATAGTGGAAATCTTTGTTAGTTACAGGAGGAGGGGCTGGTGATATGGCTCAGCCAGTAACAGCACATATCCCCAAGCCAAACAATCTGAGTTCCATTCTGAAGTCTCACATGGTAAGAGAACTGACTCCCACAAGTTGTCCTCTGACCTCCACACGTGTGCTGTAGCGTACATGTTTATACACGTATATATACACACATACGTGCTCATATACACTAAAATCAATGTAATTGTCTAAGAAATGTTCTAAAGTGAGGAGGGGTGGTGGAGTACACCTCAACCTAATACTAAATGTTTCTTTGAGGTTGTCCTTTACCTCTTAATGTGCTGTGTCCTTACAAAGTCACATAATTTCGTAAATCTTTTATCATTTTAAAGGAAGATAACCTTTTTCTGCTTTTATAGTTCCTAGTTCTGAGGTCCAGATTCATATATGCTAAACTTTTAATAAAGAGTTTAAAGATTCCTTCTAGACTGGCAGTTCTCATCCTGTACTTACGGTATTTTAAGTGATTAGGTAGTGGGTAGCTTATTGAAGGTTTCCATGGTGCTGCAGTGCCTTTGATCCCATTGTGAATGATACACTGCTGGGATGTTTTACACATAAAGGATGTTTTAAGTTTTAATACTATTTACTATTAAATATCTGCATTTATTATCTCAATAAATAGCAAAAAACAAAACTGTTTATTCTTACTAATATACAAATGCAATATAGTACATGTTTTTACATTCTCTATTAAGAAGAGTTGTCATTTTAACTTTCAAATTTGAGATTTGATTGATATTCTTGTAATTGTCACAAAGAAGGACAAAAAGACACTTCTAAGCTACTGATTGTACCCCAGCACAGTTCAGAATGCCTGCCTTCTGTTGAAGTACTTAAATCTGAATCAGATACACTAATGAATTCATATGTGTTAGATGGTAAATCAAACATTACAAAGTGAGATGGCCTAGTGGTTAAGAGCACTTGCTGCTCTTGCAGAGGACCTGCATTTGGTTCCCAGCACCCACAGGGCAGCTCACAACTCTCTAATTCCAGTTCCTGGTGGTCTGACACCACTTCTCACCTCTGTGGATTCTTGCTTGCATGTGATGCACATACATACACTCAGGCAAACACACAAACCATAAAACTAAACAGACTCTTAAAACCTTCCAAAGTGAAAGATTTTATATTAATATTGAGGAAGAGATAAGATTCAAAATTAGAAAAGGGGTATAAAATGGAAACATTTTTAGGATCTCTTGTGGATAGCAGTGGATATATGAAGAAGCACAGAACAGCTCTTGCTTTGAAAGAATTTAAAGTTGCAGGAGGGAAACAAATAGAAGCACAAATGACATGGTGATAAGTAGTCACAGCGTGGTACAGACTGTGTATAGCATCTAGACCTAAGCATTTGCCTGCTGAGCCCTACCATTAAACGCCTTCTGTGTCTAATCAAACAATGCCACTGAACTCTTATGGTTCATTTGGCTAAGGGGATCCAGGACTTCACCAAGTAAAGGAGGGAGAGATGGCTCAGCAAATAAGAGTGCTTACTGCTTATGCAGAAAACCTATGTTTGGTTCTCAGCACCCACACCGAGCAGCTCACCACTAACTGCTTGTAACTCCAGCTCCAGGGGATCCATTGTATTCTGGTCGGCTTCCACAGACACTGTACTCATTACACATACCCACACACATATTCACACACATGTACATAATTAAAAATAAAATAAGAAGTAAATGTCAAGTTAGAATGAAGGTACAGAGGAAGACCTTGAGTACACCCCTCTCCCTACACCCACATTTATACACACAAGTAAGGTTTGTTGGTGTAGATTTATGAAATAAAGACATTAAGACTTCTCAAGTACCAGAGGAGCTGGGGAATAAATCTTTTCTTTTGATTACAGAAACAAAACCCTTAAGACTTTATTCTTAAAGTCTTGGTAGAGGAGTTCACAGAGAAGTCTGGGAACTGCCATTTCAGTCTGTTGAACCTCAAAGCAAGAATTTAAGGAGAGGGCTGTGAAAGTACTCCATCTGGCCCGGCTAGCCACAACATAGGAGTTCATGGACAGATCTATGGAGCTATCTTATCTTCCTCCCAATGAAATCCCCCGTAGTTACCCTACCATTGGCACACTAACCCAGTCACCTAGGGAAGAAGACCCTGTGTCTCCATGCAAAAGGAGACCCTCAGTAAGACTGTACAGTGTTAGACTTACACAATCACAAAATGAGCTAGGCATGAACAGTGCAAGGCTTTCTTTCAAACCTTTAATTTTGTGTGTGTGGGTTATGAGTGTGGGTGCACATGTCGTAGCGCCCATGTGAAGGTCAGAGGACAACTTGGGAGAATTGGTTCTCTCCTATCAGGTGGGTCCTGGGGATTAAACTCAAGACTGTCAAGCTTCGCTGCAGATGCCCTTACCCAGACAGTGATCACACCAGACTAAGTGAAATGCTATGTAGGGAGAAAACACACCTGCAAGGGACTCGCAGGTGTTAAGGTGCACATGGAAATACAAGACAGTATGGTTTATTCAGAAAACAAAATGCAGAATTTCTATATATTTGCAACATAAATCAAGGGGTAGAAGATTAGAGTTAGATGGGAACCAAACAATGAAAGGCTTAAAAGTATATGAAATGAAAGAAGAACCATTGAAATGTCTGAATCTGGATTCAATGTAACAAAAGTTGAATTCACATTCAACTTTTTACATTCTGGATTCAATGTAACAAAAGTCACATTCATCAGTGTGACTGGTGCTGTCACCCTTTCATACAGTTGTTGCTGTGGTGACCACCCAACTAACTGTAAAGTTATTTTCATTACTACTGCATCACTAATTTTGCTACTGTTATGAATATAATGTAAATATCTGATATGTGACTCCTGTAAAACAGTTGTTCAACCCCCAGGGGGGGTTTTACCCACAGGTTGAGAACCGCTAGAGTTAAGCAAGTCAGATAACAGCTGTAACATTGTGAGGGCCTGGTTGCAAAGGCGCCTGAGGGAAACCCGTGGGTTTGAACTAGCTTTTATAGGGCCTTAAAGGTGAGCCAGGGGAACTGTGAAGCCTCTGACCACTGGCTTGGCTAACTGTATCAAACTGTTCATCAGAAAACAGAACAAAGAGAATGATAATTCCTAAAGAGAAAAGTTCAATTTCCTGAAATGACTTGAATTCAGAAAAGCCTCAGGCAAGCTGCACTGATGTAAGCGCCTGGTAATACTCGTTTCTGCTTTCATTACAGTGTGATTTGGAAGGAATCATGCCAAATGTTACCATCAGCTTGAACCTCCCCACCAATGGCTCTCCACTTCAAGATATTATCGTCCACCCTTGTGTGACTTCTCTTGATTCTGCCATTCTGACTTCCAGTAGCATTGATACAATGGATGATTCTGCGTTTAGTGGGCCTTATAAATTCCCATTCACTCCACCTTTAGAGTCATTCAACTTATGCCACTACACTTCTCAGGTACTCATGGCTTTAAACAGGAAACAACTCTTAATTCCAGGAAATCTTAGCTAAATAAACATGTAATAAGAGCCGTAGTTATCTGTGCTCATGGCGGGAGTGTTGTGTGTTGGACACTGTCCTAGGCACTTGGTGTGTCTTTTTCTAGGAATTTCAACACATCTTAAGGTCGATGTTATTATCTCCATTTTATAGATGGTGAAAGTCTTAGGGAGGTTAAATGACTTGAACAAATCTTCTGGCCAATAAGTGGCACAGCCTGGGTTTGAACCCAAGTCTTCCAAATTCCCAGAGGCTGGTGTGTTTTCCACTATAACGTGTCGCTTGTCTCTTGTCCTAATTATCAGCCAATTAGATTAGAAAATCCTGTTCAAGCCAGACTGACTAGAAGTAATTTATTTTGGTAAGAATTCAACAGGAATTCTTATTATCATTCAAGAGAAGAAATAGATGTAGGCTACCTGAGAATTCGAACCAGACTTAAGGTCATTCTACACTGACTGCCTCATCCCCAGTGCTCCCTGTCTTTGGGTTTCTCTGTGTGCAGTGCTCTTACAGCTCTAGGACCTACATGTGAGAGCCTCCCTGTGTGCACCAATAAGATGATTAGCTCACATCATTGTAAAATTTCCTCTTCAGTCAGTCATTAATGACCCGTTAAGCTATTGCTGAGCTAGGAGCAGGAAAGGAGAAACAATTGCAGTCACAGGATAGGAAATGAACATTTGAAACTGTGAGCGGAACAGTTAGCAGGATGCATAAAGGATGACCTGGGCTGCAGGTGTGAGAACACAGAAGAGCAAGAGTAGGAACAAGTATGGACTGTAAGGTACCTTTTGTCTCTGTTCAGAGAGGTGGAAGAATGCCCTCAGGATGAATGTAGATACACCATTGCTGTTGTGAAAGCATTGGAGAACAGCCCTCCAGCTATTAAAGCCATACCTGTGTATAATAATTATAAAGTATAGCTCTTTTTTCCCTGTCAGCATTTATATCTTAGACTCATCAACATGAGAATTATATTAAGAGCTGTGTCTGGTTTCAGGTCCCTGTCCCACCAATACTGGGTTCTTATCACGTGAAAGAAGAAGAAGTACAACTAAAAATAACAGTTAATTTAAAACTTCATGAAAGTGTAAAAAATAATTTTGAAATCTGTGAAGCTCATATACCTTTTTACAACAGGTAGGGTGAATAATATGACATCATGGTTGTTGTCCTCTCTACTATATTCCTACTGCCCCACAATAAAGTGTCTTCATTTTCCATATTTTTAAAATCTAAATAATTTTATATTCAAATGAATACTGATTCTGAGCTAAAATGTGGTTGCGAAAAGAATCTATTTAACTTTAAATGGTGCCTCATTTTTTTCCACTTAAGCTTGCAAATAAATTTCAAGCTTAAATCTGTAACTTCCTCAAGGACCATTGTGCCACTGGCTTTATTGGTACAGTTTCTCTGAAGTCTACATATAAATCAGTCTTAACCATCAGCAATCTGGTGAATTAGTCAATTAGAGCATAGATCAGTTCTACTTTGAAAATGTATTCTGCAGTGAAGCACTTTACAAAGTGTACTTAATTAGTAAAACATAATTTTAATACTGTTCCAACGCATGTAATATAATCTATGTGATTTTTATAATTGTTTTTATAATGCTAATGTATATATATAGCTACTGTAAATGTTTATGTGATGTCTGCTGTTTTCTAAAATCTGTATTCATTATTCATTCTCTTCTGCAGTAGGAATACAGATCTGCTTTTGTGATATAAAAAACAAACAAGATTTGGCTCATCGCTTTAAAACTTATATCTGAGGTTTTTTTTCTACTTTCTTTTTCCTTTTTTTTTTTTAAAGAGGTCCAATTACCCATTTGGAATACAAAGTTAGTTTTGGCCAACTTGAGGTATTTCGAGAAAAAAGCTTATTGGTCTGGATTATTGGTGAGCAAGATTTTTTTATTGATTTTTTTTTTCTCATTTGCTGTGGAATCTTCTGTTTTAGAATAATTGATTTGTACATTTGCGTTTTAGGGCAGAAGTTCCCCAAATCAATGGAAATTAGTCTTTCTGGAACTGTAACTTTTGGAGTCAAGGGCCATAACAAGCAGCCATTTGATCATATTTGCATTGGAAATACAGCATACGTAAAGGTAAATATATGAAACATTGCATTAGAACCCCTTAACTTAGTTCTAAACTACATATATATTTGAGTTTTAGTATTTTCTAACAAAAAAAAACAATTCTGTGCTTTTTGTGTAGCTAAGTTCCTTTTTAAAAACATTTATTGGGGGGTGCTCTGTGTTTCTTTTATTTTTTTTTTTTAAGACAGGATCTGTGCCTTAGCCCAAACTGGTCTCCATATCCCTATGTAACACTAGCTGACTTCAAGCTATGAGCCTCCTGCCTCAGCCTCTCCTAGATGCTTGGCTTACAATCATGAATCTCCACACATGGCCAGTAGTCGTCATTTTTCTGTTTCAGTAAGTACTCAAATTGTAAGGGAAGTAGTTAAGAATAACCTAAACACTCCACTTTAAACTACCCAACTCCTAGTTATCAAATTAGATTTGTGTTCAAAAATAAGATGCAGCCCTTGATCTCTAGAGTGTTTTCAGTAGTGTGGATTAGTGACTGATCAGTATTAACTGTTGTGGAATATTATTTTAAGGTGTGTTATAGTTGTTTATATTGCGGAACATTTGTTTAATGATGCAAAGATGTGTTGCATTCTTTTATGTTGCATTTGTTTAACTCTGTAAAGCTGTGTCACTTTGCCTGCCAAAGCACCTGATTGGTCTAATAAAGAGCTGAATGGCCAATAGCAAGGCAGGAGAAAGAATAGGCGGGGCTGACAGGCAGAGAGAATAAATAGGAGAAATCTAGGGAAGAAAAGAAGGAGGAACAAGAAAAGGAGAAGTAGTGGAGGACACCAGGGACCAGCCACACAGTCAATCACAGAGCAGGAAGAAAAAAAAAAGATATATAGAATAAATAAAGGTGAAAGCCCAGAGGCAAAACATAGTTAAAGAGAAACAGGATTATTTAAGTTAGAAAAGCTGGCTAGAAACAAGCCAAGGCTGGGCATTCATAAGTAAGAATAAGTCTCCATGTTTTTATTTGGGAGCTGGGTGGCAGGCTTCCAAAGAGTTTAAAAAAAAAAAACTATGACTAACGGTTTTTGGTGTCTCAGAGAAAACATGAGTCCTTCTGGCCAAAGCAAATTCTGAGGACAAGATAAACATGAAAGTTAATTAATGTCTTCATCTGAAAAATGGGCTAAGGACCAGCAAGATGGCCCCGTAGGTCAAAGCATTCACCTAAGATCAGTCCCTGGAACTCAGGGTGGAAAGAACCAGCTCTCAAACATTGACCTCTGGCCTCTACATCCACACATGGCATGTATGTGCCTGTGCTTACACACAACTCAGCACGCATAATGTACATGCTTGCATAAACATAATATGTTTTAAAGTGACTTAGAGAGTGAAAAGAGGTAAACAGTTTCAGAAGCTGGTGCTTAGAATGTAAGTTCTACACAGGAAGGACAAGTTATTTAGGCTGGAATATAGAGGACGTGCATCTCCTATTCCTTTGGTAGATGTTTTAACTTTTCAAAATGGTTCATTTATGAGTGTTAATCTGCAATGGATTCAAGGCAAGTGCATGATGTCAGAGACTGTATGGTCTTATTTCTTTCTTGTTTCATATTCAACATCTAGTCCAGCACCTAGTACTTAAATATTTGCTTAATATATATGTTTATGTGTACCTGGTAATAGCAGCATTTCTTAATAAGTGTACAACAGATAGATAAAGCCCTAAAATTTGATTCACATGGGAGATCCACCATATATAAGGATTTAGGAGTACCCATTGAAAAGAAAAACTTGATGCAAGGAAATGAATACGATCATATAAACGAAAGAAAATAAAGAAAGATTCAGAAGAATCAATAAGGAAAATTGAAGGAATAACCACAGAGTTTACAGGAAAAGAGAATGCTATTGGTGAAGTCAAAGATGAAAGATAAATATCTATGAAAGCAACAGTAGTGAGATTGGGGTTCACTGCTAAGAATTCATTTTTTCTGGGCAAGCTTTGACTTTGCCTACTATCTTGTTTGAAAGCTTTTTATTTAAATTCCTGATTTTTTTTTTCAGAAAAAAATATGGAATGTTACTACATTGTGTGCCCACCAAGGGTAGTTTTTAGAATTTTCTACTTATTTCTTTCCCTTAATCAGTTCTAGTCTGATCCAAAGCATATAATAAATATGGAAATGGACCTTGTCTACATAACTTCCAGCACTGCGAATTGTAACACTGATGCAAACACAAGCTCTTTGCTTTCAAACTCAGTGAATTGCTGTAAGAAAGAGATTGTTACAATCTCAGAGTTATTATACGCACATGCACAAACACAGAATGGGAGAAATTTGCAGAGAAGAGAGGAGAAAAAAGTATACGGCTTGGGATATAACCCAGAGATGGAGGGCTTGCCAGGAATGTGCAAGGCCCTTGGTTTAGTGTAGGTAGGGGTGTTGAAAAGAGCAGGATCTTGCTAAATGAGGTGTTTACCAGCACAGATTAGAACCACAGCAAACAGAGACTAGAAAGGTACTAGTGCCTCATTACAGCACAGTGCAGTGCTGGTGTTCACAGTGATAACCCTACATCACCAATGGAATCCAAGAGCTGTGGGTTACATTTTAGAAAGGTTTTCCAGATGAGGGAAGGGTTAACTTGTTAACAGTTCTGTAAAAGTTAGATTTTGGTTATCAAAAAAAATTAAGTAGAGCAGGCCGTTTCCCCAAGCATGAGATAAACTGATACTTCTTCCTGTCGTGATTGCATTTATATGCTTTATTAAAAAGCATATACATTCCTACATATGAAAGAGTGTGATTGGGGCTAGAGAGCTGGCTCAGGGATTAAGAGCACTTGCTGCTGCTGCTCTTCCAGAGACTCAGATTCAATTCCCAGCACCCATGTGATGGCTCACCGGCTTCTGTAACTCCGGTTGCAGGGGATCCAGTGCCCTCTTCTGGCCTTCATCAGATACAGACATGCACGCAGGCAAAACGCCTATACACAGAAAAATTAATTAATTAAAAAAAGATTGTCACCTGAATTTATCACAAATAGCCTGCTAGGGAGAAAAGACTGTATGATCTATCAGACAGTGCAGCAGAAAAAGCGGTTCTGAGTTCAGATGCACGCTCGGCTGCTGCGTCCTGAGCACTCACTACTTCACTGTGTGCCCAGGCTTCACAGTAGTGGAGTGGTTGTACGAGTTAAGCACTCACAAAGAAATGGAACTAGTACAAAGGGGTGTGCACACATTTATTGTGTGTCTTCACAACTGTACTTTAGTATTGGGGTCTAGTTTGTGAACTGTCAGGTGACGCTCTAAAAACTGTGAAGGGGAAAACGTGATGAAGATCCTTAGCCAATCACCTCCTCAGTTGACTTTCTCTCATTTCCCTAGCTTCATTTCAGGATCTCAGATTATACACTCACTGGATGTTATGCAGATCAGCATTCGGTTCAAGTTTTTGCATCAGGAAAACCAAAAATAAGTGCATGTAAGTTGTACAGGTTCAAACTAAACAGAATTAAAATGGTACTATGTTGTCACTACCTAAAGCAAAATTAAAATGTAATGAAACTTGGAGATTGGAAAATAATCCCATTTTTTAAAAATGTCTGTGACTCGGTCCATTCCCACATAACCCTTTGTGAGCTTTATGTTGCCCTCTGACCTCTGTTCAAATACAGTCTGGATGAGTAGGACCCAGTTGGGCGTTAGTATATAGTATATATGGATTTGCTTTGCTCTGGTTATATTAAACTCTTGTCTATTTCCAATGACTGTAACTTTCAAAAAACTAGTGAACGTCTTAAAGTTTTAGTGTCCTCATTTATAAAGGAGAAGAAATAGGGGACTGTTTAGCGCTCTAAAGGTGGTGGGACATGGGAGAGGAGCCTAAAAACAAGGTGGACTAAAGCCTCAGGCAATAGCCAGCTTTATTCAGAGCATCAGACAATTTATACTCGGAGGGTTAAGAGAAGTCACATGAGTAAAGTGTCCAATCACAAGGACAAGCCACATGTGGTAGACAGGCCACACTTTGGCAAAACATATTTTTTCATAGTGGTATATAAACGATAACAATAACCAGTTGTAATGAATAATCAAAATCAACTCATGCCTATCCACTACACCTGGGAGTGACATGAGAGCACATTCCAAGAACAATACATCTTTTTGAAGAAACTGAGGTCACAAGACTTTTGTCTTGTTTTCTTGGAGTTTTCTCACAAGCACTCAAAATTCCCCTCACACAACTCCATTCTTGGACCAGCCAGATGGCTCTGTGGATAAAGACATTTGTTGTTCAGTCTGATAGCCTGAGTTCTATCCATGGGACCCACACAATGGAAGAAGGGAGCTGACTCCTAAAAGTTGTCCTGTGACACTCATATGCATACACACACACACACACACACACACACACACACACACACACACACACAAAACAACACACATGCTAGATTCCTTTTAATGTAATAAAGTTAATAAAGTAGAAATGACAATATTATATACCTTGTGATTTATAAGAATAGATTATATTTATTCAGCACTTAGCTTAACATAAGATTTAATCAGTAATAAATTGCTTATCATTTTAAAATTTAAATTATTTTTAGTAAATACCATAGCCAGTAAACATTTTTTTTTTTTTTGGTTTTTCGAGACAGGGTTTCTCTGTGTAGCTTTGCGCCTTTCCTGGGACTCACTTGGTAGCCCAGGCTGGCCTCGAACTCACAGAGATCCTCCTGGCTCTGCCTCCCAAGTGCTGGGATTAAAGGCGTGCGCCACCACCGCCCGGCTCAGTAAACATTATTTAGCACCTTCTCTGTTCTACCAATGGCAAGCAATAGAAAGATGATTTCCTGCCACATAGTTTTTACATGAATATATCAGGATGTGAAAAACAAAACTTAAAATTATTTAATTCAAATCAAATACACAGGTGGCATAGAAGAGTAGATAGAATGAAGTAAGTAGCTAGGTAAAGGTAGGGGGTAAGGAAAATGTCAGATTATGTATCTAGATTGGAATAATCCAATTTATAAAAGTTCTCGTATTTTGGTACATTTGTTTGTTGGTTGGTTTGGGCAGAGCTTGAGCAGCTGCAACTCAAGGCCTCATGTATGCCTGGCAAGTGTCCGGTCACTGAGCTATACCCCTAGCCTCAGACTTATATTTCTAGAACTAAGGATTAAGGTCCCTAAACATTGGAAGGCTAGGACCGGACTGTACCTGAATGCTTCAGAAGAACTGGGAACCTCCGAACTACAGAATCTAGGCAATCTCAGAGAAGCCCGTGTTTTGACCTCTGTGTTGGCCCTGTGTTTTGCCCTCTAGCAGTCCTGCTGTTTTTAGATGACTTGATGAAGGCATGTTCAGAGTGTATATGTTCTTTTATGAAAGTGTAATATTAAACCATCATCACTGTGTCTAAATACAGATGAGTATTTTTGATCTGTGAGAAATGTTATTTTTTTTGATAATAACTAAAATATGTTTAAGTATTTTATTAATATTAACTAAACATTTTAGAAAGTATAATAAAGAATAGAAAGTTTCTATAATATACCTTTTTTTAATACATCAGTAACATACCTAATTATTTATTTATTCATTTATTGAGATAAGGTCTCAACTGTATAGCCCAGAATGGCCTCCAATTCACTGTCTTCTTGCCTCAGACTCCCAAGTACTGGGATTATAGGTGCATGCTACCATGCACAGCTTCTACTTGTCTTTTATATAAAGAATATTGAATGAAAGAGTCTATTTCAAATGAATCATTGTACCTATCCTTTTATGCCTTCAAACTTTCATTTTGCCTCATGCTGAGTATACAACTTGATTCTGCAAATAGTTTAGTGAAAATATTCATTTTAATAGCAGCATTTTTCACCAACTATGTGCCAGATATAATTTCTGTGTGTTTTATGCACATTCACTCATTAAGCCTCACAGCACCTTCTGTGTTGGTATCCCTGTTTTATGGGTGGGGGCACTGATGGAACTGAGACGAGGTGAGAATCATATAGCTAGCCAATGACATGCCTGAGATTCAACGTGGGCAGCTGGCTACTGGAGCCTGTCCTTTTAACCGTGTGCTGTGCTGCCTCCCAATATTACTAAAGTAGAAAAAGGAAAGGTAATGCATTGTGTTCATTTGAAGGGCATGAAGAAAAGTAGAAAAAGTTGAATTATATATATTCAGTGATACATATAGTAATAAAAATGTGTATGTTTCCAAGTAGCATCATTTTATCAGTTTAATAGCTTATGAAACTTTGGTTCAAAGAGGTTACCATTTGTCCAGAGGGGCAAAACTGTTAAAACCCAATGCTTAAATTGGAGCCAAACCTTAAGAAACCAGGAAAGCAGTCTCCTGAGAGTATTGTGAGAGAGTTGGGTGATGATTTGTGTCTCCAACTCTTTGATTGAAGTAATGAATACTTCAACTAGAATTTGGGACTTGGTAGAGATCATAAAAGGAAAGCCAAGAAGAAAGTAATGGTTTATTAGAAAATCAATTTGAGATGTAGGGGAAATAAACATTTGGTATAAATAAGAGGTTCATATAAGTTCCAGTATGGTTTGCCCAAATATTTATGAGCTCATTTTAATGAGATATAAGTAGGAATAAAGCTTCAATAGAGTAAAATAAATATTAATACTTCAAAGTTATTACCATGACATGACTGTACTACACAAATTCAAAATGGATAGCTTTGTTCTCTTACTGGATTTTTGCTAAAATTAAGCATTTTTATCATTAATTTCTTTTCTTTTTCCTTTTGTAGACCGGAAACTAATTTCTTCTGACTATTACATCTGGAATTCTAAAGCACCTGCTCCAGTAACATATGCGTCATTGTTACCATGATTTTCTCATATTCAAATGGGATTTAGATGATGGTAACATTCTGTAGTAAAATCATAGTATTTTTGTTTCTTACATGTATTCATATCACCCGTGACTGAAAAATCACTGATTTCTTTATCCAAACCTTCATATCTGTCAGTTTTAGTCTGATACAATGTGAAAAAATATTTTCAAGGCTAATGTCTCCATTTTTTTTTAATTTTTTTTATTTATTTTTTATTTTTTTTATTTTTAAGATTTTAAAGTCTCCATTTTTTGTTACCCGCTGTCTTCATGCCAGTATGACTCAGAACACATAAAAGTAGTGATTCATTTTGAATTACAATCAGTCTTGGGTCTCCATGACATATGTTCTTTCCTGTCCCTGTGGCAGGCCTCCAGACTCAGTCCCAGCCACAACAGGGCCAATTGTGGCATCCTGTGGGGCAGACTGCGCTAGTCTCAGAACCCCTTCCTTCAGTAAGAGCTCAGCCTTCTCCTGGTGCAGTCTCAGGCAGCTGTCCTGTGGTTTGTAGTTGATTTACAAGGAAATTATGTGCTTATCCAAACCTCAGTACAAACAGCATGCTTTTACAGAATACCCATGATCTGGTTAAAATAATCATAAATTCTTTCTTTCAAAGCAGCCAGTGGAGATAATGTTCAAATAGTAACCCACTCTTCATCACCTCTCTCCTCCTGGCCAATAAAAAGCCCTGCATAATTCTATTTGATGTTCTAGAGCTACTTTCTTTCTGAGACTGAGTCTCGTGGAGCCCAGACTGCCTGGGACTCACTGTGTAGCTGAGGATGACCTTGAGCTCCCACTCAAGTGCTGGGATTACAGTGGTGTATCACCATGTCCAATTTATGCCCTTCTAGGGATCCAACTCAGCTTCATGCGTGCCAGGCAAGCACCCTACCAACTGAGTTATGACGCTAACCCCTCTCAGGCTCCTTTAACTGACTTAATCTGCAAGAATGACGTGTGTCTGAGATGCCAGTCGACCTAAGAAGGCTGCAGTAACTTCAGAAGAGGAGCATAGTCATCTATGATTGTTTAGCGTCCTGGGACAAGGTTTTAAAAATAATTTTCGGTATTATACTCTTTGTTTGTTTGTTTTTTTTCATTAAAATCTGTTAATGAATGAACTCAGGTAAATACTCAAAAGCCTTTTCATGAGTAAAAAGTATCATTTATACTTATTTAATGTAGCATTTTTTTCTTTATCTGTCCCTGTCATTTCTTTTTACCATCTTCTTGATTCCTTCCAAACTACCTAGCCATGCTCTTTATCCTCTACCCATTTCTCCTATTACACATATCCTGCTTCAGAGCAGTATGCTCTCGTCAAGTTGGACTTCAAGCAACCATTAAAAAAACTCTAAAGATCCTGAGAACTTAGCTGACACCAGCTGAAGCCTGACAGAAAATAGGACTTGCAGAGTGATCTCTAATTAGATTGATCCTGGCTTCTGTTTCGTTTTTGTCTTTTTTAAAATGAGTCTTCTTAAAAAAAAAAAAAAAAAAAAAAAAAAAAAAAAAAAAAAAAAAAAGGGCTTAGAAAAAGCTGCTGATTCTTTGGAGGAGAGTTACAATCATTGCAGGGAAAGTGTGTGTAAACTTAGGACTCAAAATCACTTTTTTAATTAGGGTCGGTCCTCATTATACACCCTCATTGCCTGCAAAGCATTATCATAGCACCAAGTTCTGCTTTCACAGTCATCCTAAGTAAGGAGAAGGGAGTAACTGCCTGACAAGGACAGTGACTTGCTGTCCTGACTGACCCAAAGGGAGTCAGCAGTAGAAATTCTTTTGTGAGAAGAAAACATTGTCCCATAATGGTTTTTTCTCACTCCTCAACTCAAAGCTTAACATTTTACTTCAATTTATTAGTGAAGCCTTTTGGAAATTTTGATTGTACAAATACTTAGCAAATTATACTAAGGTAGACAAGACACATTCATCTAGTGAGTAGGGAAAGATTCAGTATATAATCCTTGAGGCAAACTCTCTTCATAAACAAATTAGAAAAACCAGTGACCTCTAATTTGACATTTCTAGAAACCTGGGGAAAATCTAGGGGTTCCTAGAAAAGCGTGGCGTGATGGGGAACCAAGGCCATCTGTTGCCATTCCGTTCTGACACAACACTAGGAGCTAAGAGCCAGCCCACATTTCATCCCATTGAGATCAGCTGGGCACACTGATGCTTTTGATTTTGTCTAGAAACCTGTCACTTCAGGATAATTTCTGAAGACAAAGCTTGTTCCCAGTTTGGTAGGTGACCTGTTTAATGTTTTCCCTGTGTCTGGGAACTCCTTAGTGTAATTAGCGACCTTTGAACTCCACAACTAATCCTGAGCTATTTTGTATTCCTTACTCATCTTTAAGGCTGGACCTTTCTTTTCTTCCGAGTCCACTGCCACAATTAAAGAAGAAACAGCTGCATTTCAAAGGGATTCCGATTCCAGAAGCTTAATCGTGATTGACATGTTCTTATTCTAAGCTATAAGACACTCTCAGAGTCCTTTCTTTGGTTAAAACTTCAATCATTTTCTAAAAAATTATCTCACTATGGATTTTATTCATTTTCTTTGATAGCTATTCTTTTCATTTTTTTAACTTGAAAGGTGCTTTGCATTTGCAGTGAATATGAGCATCGACTTCCAGTGACAGATTTGGATGGTGTCAGACCTGCTCTAGATACAATATTGCTAAATTCCCTTTTAGTGCCAAAATGTGATTATGAAACCTGATATCTATGCTGTAATTATTCTTACTCAACCCAAAGGGTTAAAGAAAGTTTTAAATATCTGAGAATGAACTCTAGAAAAGATGGGTCATGATTTGGGTGAAACCTGTTCTCCATTTTTTTTTTTTTTTACTAAGCAATACTGTAAAGCCCACAATGTAGTAGTTAAACAGTGGGGATGTTTTGTACTGTTAAATAATTGAGCCTGTCAACTTAAAAGTAAATAGGCTTGTTGGGAATCTCAAGAGTCTTTAAATTTTATTTAAACATTAGCCTATCTCAAAATCTTTTTCTTTTCATGCCATCTTAGTATTTCTACTGTTACAATATTGTGGTCTTGATTTCATGTGCTATGTTTAGCAGCAGACATTTTGCACATAGTATCCATTGCTGATTTTTTTTTTTCTGTTATTGTTGTTAACAATATTTAAAAACCTTTAACAGGCCTTCAGATTCCTCCACTGCCCCGGGAGGTAGATAGGTGGACTTCCTCTGCGGGGATTGCTGCCCTAGTAGAGGAGTTGTTTCTAAGACAAAGGTCAAAAAAAGGATGTTAATAAACAGTCCTCAGGTTTAAGGGACTTTTTAGGATTACATCTTAAATTCCAACAAATCAGATTTAGGAGTTGCTGAAAGTGAAATTGATCCATCCCTCATCCAAACTTTGCAATACTTTCCTGTTCTGACATCATTTAGATAGTTAGCTGTATTATCAGATTAAAAACCATTGTACCCGGCTGCTGAAAGGAGAAGGAGGCAAAAAGCTAAACATGGGATGAATTCTGAACCTTTTAACCTGGCTGAAGTATGTTGGTTGCTGTTATGCAAATACCTTCAATCCTCTGCTAAGTTCCGTGGAAATAATTTTCTTGAATGACAGGTTGATTCAGCAAGGATTCAGTCGGTGATTAATCCCCCTTTGATCTGGGGTATTCACTTAACTACCAGTTACCTCGTTCTGACAAAGTGCAACTGAGATTAGGGAGATCACTAGAACACTACCAGCCCGTGCGTTTATTCTCTATAACCTTTTAAAGCAAGGGCCAAGAATGCAATTTATTCTCAGTTTTTGAAGATGCAAAGTCCTGCCTGCTAAGTTAGAAAGTCAATTGAATACCAAATGAAGTTTATTTCTTACATAAGAGAACAAACATTTCTTTTTTTGCTCTGCCTATCAATGATATTAGGAATCATAGGCTTTGAAGAGAGAGAAAAACAAAGGCTACATTCCAAGTACAGCTTCTTGTTTTGTGTCGTGTGCTAGAGTGCATGCTTACTGCCCCCTGATAACCCAAGAATCAAAGGAATGGCTACAGTTATGCTGAAAAACACTTGTGTTTCATGTGTCTTTGAATCCAGCCACCCCCGGACCACTAGAAAAAACTCAGTGTAGTACAGAAATCCAGCGAGGGAGACACGCAGCACACAATCTTGTTAGCTTTTATTTTCATGAGGAAGTAGATAGAACCTTGTATTCTCATTAAAATAATAACTGCATTCATTTCCCCATAACTGGTGTCATTGCCAAAGTACGTGAAAAGTCATTCCCTTAAGTGTTTTCTGCCTTTTGCTTTATCTTTTCTTCCATATATTTAGACTTTGAAATATCTGTGCAGTTTTAAGAAAAAAAATTCAGATGTATTTCATGCTGTTTTTCAAAGAATTCGTTTTTAAAAACTATTATCAGTGTTAGTATTTATTTTTCAAGATGTCAAATTAAAGATTTATTCCTTTAGTATACTTCATGTCCTATAAATACATAGGTACATAATATACATACCATTATTTGTAACAAAATTTGTTTTTAATTTTTTATCAATGATTAACTTTATAAATAAGGCAAAACATTCTTATAAATGTTATGTAGTTGCTCTTTTCCTAGTAGCAGTCTACAATAAAAGTTACTGTTTAAATCATTTCTTATGCTTTTTTGACTCAAACATTTTGTAATTAATTTATAAATCAAAACAGCTCAAAAAATGCATACATAAATTTGTGACACACTGGCCTCCTGTAGTTCCAATTTAATCGTCAGTTTTCAAATACTTTGGAAGATCAGAAAAAAATGTCAAAGGTCAAGATTCCATAGTTATGTTGCTAAGAAACTCGTGTTTTTAGTAGTTAACTACTCCATGTAATAAATAGTGAGGTAATAAAATATTCACTGTAATTTAAAATATGCCATTATGGAATATACATATATACAAAATAGGCATTTGTGTGTTTCTTCGATGTGTTCCATGCTGTGTAGCTGAGTTTACCTGTGAGCCATTTCAGCATTGTTCATACATCTCTACAAACAGCGTTAGTTCACAATATTGACGATTCATTGAAATGAAACTTGCTAAGGGTCCTATGAGCTTTGTCTTAGAAAATGGTTAAAAACCTTAAAGAGCTGGTAGCTTTCCTTTTTCACCACCCGTTTTATACCTGTAACATGGTGTAACATAGGTAGCCTGCAGAAGCACTGTGGCATAACTCCCACTCATAGCTGCCCTGTAAGCATGATACCCTGAGGTCTAGGTTTTCCTTAAGCCCTGGATACTTTGTGTGATTGACACCAGTGTGGCTTAGTGTTTGATGCTCCAGTCCTAACAGATGAGGGCCGAATGCCCAGGAATGGAGAGATGAGTTTTCCTATAGGAGGTACAAATTTGCAAACTGCATGTTTCCTTTAAATGTCTTTTATTAGATGATAGTTTCTGTTTTAAAAAAATCATTTTTGATAAATACTAGTAATGATGATAATTTAAAAAATTAAAAATGTTTACCTTTTCTTCAAGGTACTTGAGTGCCCTCTGCAGGTTACAAGCAGATGATTAATGACTATAATTTAAAACTGGGGTTTTTTTTCCCCTATTCAAAAAATATCACCTGCTTCCTTCAGATCTCAAAAAAAAAAAAAAAAATGTGATCCCATTTGTATTGTTCAGTGTTAACGGTGATCAAATTGGGAATTTCCTTTCTCTGCTGGTTTTATTGTTGAGTTTAGTACAAGGAATGTCATACCAGTGAAATATCCAGAATTTTATCTAGGGCTCTTTAGACATTGGACCTACAGTAGCGCACATTCCCTCACTGAAAGAAAATATGGGGAATATTTCAATATATTTAAATTTATTCAAAACTTTGAGAATAGCTTCATGTTACCGTTTATCTTTTTTAAAAACCCATGCATTTGAAATAGCAAGCCCTGCTTTTTCAGTCTGCATCAAGTAAAATGACATGAATTCTAAAATTTACACCTTTTAAATAATAAAGTTTAATAATTACATGAATGAAAAAATTAAAAATTGCACAAGTAATCTGGTGATGTCACGTTAGGGGTCCGTGTTTAAAGGGACCAATCGACCTCGCTTTGGTATTGTTAGTCTGTAGGCTTCCCAACTAATAAAAGTATTTTTAGTTGAAGGCAGCATTTTCCCCTCTGAGGTGTAGAATATGCCCCATGCAGAATACACGAGCCCCTCGACTTAGTATACGCTTCCTTTCTTTTGGGCATAGCAGATTCGTCTCTAAGATATAGTTCATCTGTGACGCTGTAGAGCTTGGTGCTGCTGGCACTTCTGGTTCAATTAACTCAGCGAGGCTGCCGGGGAAGCTAAGTATGAGAACAAGAGAAGTGACTTGATGAAATTCATAGAAACAGATTTCTTTGCAAGCAGTGTAATGATTCTGATCATCAACCTTGAAAAGCAAATTAGAACAGGCAGATGACTATTGAAAATTCTTCCAGTGCTCTGCTGTTGCTACTGTGCTGGTCATGGCTCAGCCAGAGGCAAAGGAAACACACACTGCTTGGGGTCGACAAAGGAAACATCATTAAAGTGAATGTTTACATTGTGTTTATTGAAGTGTTCAAAGTCTATGTGTTGCCTCTTCAAGCAGCCTGCTGCTCTTCAGAGGATTAAAACTGCATAGCTGATAGTAAAAACCAGTTACTTAGACATTATACAGACAGATGGCTTTTAAACAGAATAGTGCTTTTGCTTGTATTTTTTTTTCTATAAAAACTGTATCCCATTCAGGATGAGGGACCTTCATTTACTCCTACACATTCCACTTTTTTCCAAGTCCTTTATATGACTTTCCTCTTAGAAACTGCTATGCTTAAATAATGGTTTTATTTCTTAATACACCAAAAAGAACAGAACATGAAAATGATTATGAAATTACTGGCATGGCTGTCCAATTGAGTATTAGTGTGTATTGGACAGCTTCTTCCAGATTGGTGTGGGGACTCTTGGGAGCGACATTTATCTTGAGCTCCCTCACACAAATTAAATGGATAATGGCAGAGTCACTGTATAACAAACATGCCAACCTGACATTTGAGAGATTAATAAATAGTATTTGTACCAGTAAAATAAGAAAGTTGACAGAAATATCGCAAGTTTAGCTTTAATCTTTTTGTTGTTGTTTTGTTTTTTGAGACAGGGTTTCTCTGTGTAGCCCTGGCTGTCCTGGAACTCTCTCTGTAGACCAGGCTGTCCTGGAACTCACTCTGTAGACCAGGCTGGCCTCAAGCTCAGAAATCCACCTTCCTCTGAATCCCAAGTGCTGAGATTAAAGGCGTATACCATCACCACCTGCCATTACTGATCTTCCTAATATGAGCAATATAAATTACTTTTCAATTGTAAAACTAGTATGGCATTTAATAGGGATTAAAGGGGCTGGGTCTGAGATAGCTCAGTCAGTAAAAAGTACTTGCTTCATAAGCTTGACCTGAGTTGGCTCTCCAGTGCCCACATGACAATCCAAGGTGTAATGGCTTGTACTTGTAATCCCAGCTCTAGAGAAGCAGAGACGGGCAGATTCCTGGGGCGCATTAGCCAGCCTGAGCAGCGAGTCCAACGCCCCAGTGAAAGGCCGAGTCTCAAAAAACAAGGTAGATGGCTTCTGAGGAGCAACACCCAAAGCTGACCTTGGGCCTCCATGTGTGTGGCCACAGTCACTTGCATACACAAGAACATGCACATGTGCACACACACACACAAAAGTTGAAGTACTACACTCTCCTGCATCCCTTAGGTGGTGGTGATTGAAAGTTCATTACAGAACCCCTTGCAAAGTAGCTAAATTCTGAAGGATTGTTTTCTTAGACTCACTATCAAGACAAATTGTTAATCTCTCATTTCATTCACCATTTCTGCAACACATGGAGCATCCTACATTGATTATTTCATAGTTCAGAATCAATAAAAATCCTTTTTCTGTAATGAGAAAATTTGTATGAATCTAAAATAAAGCAGGTTCCAGTCCTCTGACATGGCTTTTGCAAATCAGTAACAGGAGAGGGTTAGTGAGGCTTGTAACCTTTTAAACTAATGTCCTACCAAAAGGGCTTTGTGTGTGTGTGTGTGTGTGTGTGTGTGTGTGTGTGTGTGTGTGTGTGTGCATGTGCGCGCGCGCGTTGTGTGCATGTGTTGTGTTGTGTCCTGAGAATTGAACCCCAGGGCTAAGCATGTGCTCCACCACTGAGCTATATTCTCAGCCCCAAGGAATTCAACTGGCCTTAAACCCAAAATGCATCTTCCCTTACACATACTAAAATAGCACATACTATTCATTGTATTTAATGTTGAGACCTAAACATGAACTAGACACATCAGAATGAAAAGTTGCTGAGCAATCCAGAATCGAAACTGGAGTCCTTGTGTAGTGGATGCCTAATTTTAGACTTTTAACGTGGTTGTCCTATGTTTATGGCGCTCCAGAGGTAGGCAAACAAGAAAGTAGCACAGACTTGGATCGTGCATTGTAACTTCTACAATGTAGTGATATTTTAACATGGAAAAATACTCTTCACCATTGTTCATACAGAAACTGTCCAAAAGGATGGTGGCTGAATCATCAGGTCGACAAGAGGAGCATCCCAAGGGCAACATACATCTCTGTAGGTCTGTCCGACAAGCCTGAAAAGGCAAAAGTAGATTACAAAGAGCCCATTTATGCAAGAAAATGCCTTTTGCCTCCAAGTGGTTTCAGTTTGGATGTGTAGAATAAAGTAATTATGTTTAATTCAGTGTGTTTAGTATGCCAGGTTAAATCCAGATACGAACATGCCTTCATACTAAATATGTATCTTCCCATTGACCCATTTTATTGCTACATTGTCAGTGAAGAAACTGTAATGTATAGATAGTATTAAAGGGAAAACATACATGAGGAAATTCCATATGATCATATCGATACTGAAATGCATGTGATTTATAGTCACTGATTCACATCTAGGAAAATTTCTGCCTTGTAACATTACAAGCCGTGTATTCATTGGAGGGGTGTGTGTGTGTGTGTGTGTGTCCTCAAATTGATTTATTTTACTATACAAATCCTTTCCCTAGCTCCTACCTAATTTTTTGGCAGTGACATTTATATTCACATCTTTTTATTACCAAAGCCACTAGGAACAAATAAGAATCTGAGGAATGGTGTAATGCGTAGCAGAATCTTAAGTGTGTGATAAAGACAGTTGTCTTCCCACCTAGACACATCAACATCTGTTATTAGATGATGTGAGTGTGAAAAGCTCCCTGTGCAAGCTGTGCTTTGACTGCATTGCACACAGGTAAGGTGTACTCTGATTGCCACTTCTAGCACTCTGGGAAGCTGGTGGCATTAACGGCACCACTCACTGCAGAGTATTCAGTCTGTAAGACTTAACGTTAGTTGAGGTTGCGGTCCTGGGAGACTCGTGGCTCTTCTTCAGTGAACCTCAGAAATTCCCTTCTGGAACTTACTCTACAACAAACAGCTTTGTAGGCTCCCCGCTGTTTCCCAGAGCAAACCTGATTTGATTTGATACTATATGATCAGGGAGGCACCCCCTTCCATAAAGGCACAGCTTTCATTCATTCCTGTACAGTGATGAAATGGACTTGCTAATATCTAAAAAAAGTATGTGATTCTCTCT